TTTGTAAACCTTGGTGTCCTGATTTTAAAAGTTGCTCTACTATCTTTCCAGATTATTCTTAAGAATAAGTGAGATAATTTCACTAACAAAGAGCTCTTCAAAAAAATTAGAACTGTAAGAGACTAATAGATCTGACACATAAAAATATAAGATATCTGAGTGTTAAAAGTGAACAATATAAAAAAGTACAAAAATTACTTAGACTTTTGTTGCTGTGACTAATTGTTTAACAGAAGTCTTCAAATGTATTTCATACACTCAGGATAGTAATGAAAGTAGAAGGACTAAAAAGATTTCTATATCAAATTACTTTTTAGTTCTAAAGAGTAGACAAAAGCCACAATTTGTATTTGAATATAACACTTTAGACTAGTTGAACATAGACATGGGCCTATATATTGCAAAACATATAAAAGACATAGAAAAGTCACAGTGTATCTTGTTGTGGCATTTTCATAATGTCAAACTAAATGAATTTGCCTATAAAGAAAATCGAGTCATTGAATAGGCTATGTATAAAAGATAAGTCCCAGGGTAATGAAGACTGTGTTATCACTTACATAGATGTGTGTGTGTTGGGGTGTGTGTGTGTGTATCTTACAAATGGATAATTGTGAGATACGGCACAGTTTCTCTTCAGACAGCCTGCTCAGCCTCTTGTTCTTTAACTCCAAGTACCTCCCGCCTTCTCTTTCTTTTCCTTTTCTTTCTAATTTTACTACATGCCCAGGCATGCCACAGCCCCAGCTGACATTCCTTTCCTTATTTGGGAAAGGACTGGCTCCCTAGTCTGCCACAGATGACTCCTTTCTTCTCTCCCATCACGCATTCACCTTATCTAAGAAAGTTTAAATGTTTAGTCAATGGGGTCTAGTTTAGATGGTGGGGTCCACTCCCAGCCAATGGGGAAAGAACACAGAGACAGGAATTGCATTAGGAATAAAAGCTTCTCCTTTCCTTTATTCAGTGTGCTCTTGTGGCAACCTGCCCTATGAGAGGCACGCTTCTGAGCAGAAGTAAATTTGCTTTGCTGAGAAATTCTTTGTCTCAATGCTGTTTTTGCTTATGACTCCAAGCTTTATTTCTAACAATAATCAATACACATTATACTTCAGAAGATAATGAACAAAAGAGCTATCAAAGAAAAAGAAAAAAATACAAGTGGCCAAATATGTGAAAAACTGTTCAACTTCACTGTTAAACACAAAATAAACAAGATGTGACTTTTACCTATCAGTATGGCTAAATATTAAAATCAATACTATTTTAAGCCAGTGGTTCACAGTGTAGTCTCTAGACTAGCATCATCAGCCTCATCTGGAAATTAATTAGAAGTGCAAATTCTCAAGCCCCACCACAGTCTAAAATCAGAAATTGGCAATAGGGCCCAGCACTCTTAATTCAACAATCCAGTCCTGCTAAAGTTTGAGAAAGCTATTCTAAGGTGAAGCTGTAATGAGACATGTACTTCATATTTTACTCGCAGAAAAGTAAATGGATACAATTCTAGAAAGCAGTTTGGTAATATGTGTCAAAAACCCCAAAATGTTAATATTATTTGACCTCCAAATTTTACTGTCAGGAATCTTTCTTAAGGAAGTGATCAATTTCTGATGATTTCAGCACAATTTAAAATAGTGGTGACTGGAAATAACCTTGTAACTATATATAAAGGACTGGGAAAAAAAACAAACAAACAACTATGGTGCATCCATGTGTGCAGATAAAGAGATTCATATAGGAGAGTTAGTTACTAGAGGAAAATATTTAAAAAAACGTTTATAGTTACCTTTCTGGTTGTGGGGTTACACTGACTTTCTATGTAGTGCAGCTACAAAAAATTCAAACAAAGGGAACACTGGTTTGGTTTATAAAAACGTTTTCTAGATAACCTCCATTATAGTTTCTCTAAATAACAGTATAATTGGAAGTGATCAAAGTTTCTCTTCCCCTCCTTTTTCTTTCTGTGCTTATATCCAGTGCGCACTTGGCATGAGGTGTCAGTCTCTCCTTGCTTTCCCTGTTGCTAAAACTACTCTTTTATGCTCTGTTTCAGATGATATTGCTCCTTCTCATTGTTTATTCTTTTTATCCTATCATTTTTGAATTTAGAAACAATTTTAAACTGTAAAAGTTTAAAATTATGTTTTTAATACACATGGTGTTACTGTTTAAGTGATAACAAATGAAAAATTGTATTGTGTAACCAAAATGTAAAATTGTATCATGTGACCAATGTATCAAATTGCATCATGTAAAATTGTATCATGCACAATAATGCTATTATTACATTATTATGTTATGTATTACAGCATAGTACAAGTCACCTTGGAGTCAAATAAATCTGAGCTTAAATCTCAGTGCCATTTTCTAATTTGGTGACATATGTCTCAACATATTTCTAATATGTTAAGTCTTTCTGACTTATAGTTTCTATAAAGTAGAAATTATAATACTTTTTCAAAGGTATTTTTGTGAAAATAAATGACAATATCCGCTTAGTGCCTCATACAGACCCATACAGAGTAGCAACAAAAATTTATTAGTTCCCTCTTCTCTTTATCCATGACAGTATCATATAATGAGCTGCTTTCAATTTGCAAAGATTTTTAAAAAGGTGGTGACAGAAAGCATTTCTGTTACACTCTTGGCATGATTTAAATTTGTGTCCCACCCAAATCTCATGTCAAATTGGAGAAGATCTCTTAGGAGATCTGATGTTTTAAAAGTGTGTGGTACTTTCTCCTTTCCTTTCATGTGCTCTCGCTCTCCCTCTCCATGTGCCGGCCCTCTCTGTCTTCTGCCACCATGTGAAGAAAGTGCCTACTTCCTTTTGTCTTCTGCCATGACTGTAACTTTCCTGAGGCCTCCCAACCTTGCTTCCTGTTAAGCCTGAGGAACTGTGAGTCAATTAAACCTTTTTTTCCTCATAAATTACCCAGTCTCTGGTAGTTCTTTATAACAGTGTAAAAATGAACAAATGCACCTTAAAACATTAATTTTTACTACATGTTTGAGAACTTTCCTGCTGAAATATGTCAAAATATTTAAATCATTACAAAGCTATTGGCTTTGGGTGACAGAAATATATTTTTCCTTTTCTTTCGGACTTAAAAAAGTTCCTAAATTCAACAATGAGCATATGCCATTTTCACATTCAGAAATAAACTGTTTTTAAAAAAAATTCTCTTTATTATTTTTATCCTGAATAAAAATTACCATGACGAAATTAGGGGGCAGTTTATAAAATGCTAATTTCAGGCAAACTTGGAAGATGCTGCACAAGGGCAAATGCAATAGCACCCCTTCACTAAGTCAAAACTGTTGTCTTTGTCTTTGGGCAAAGAAATAGATCAGCATGCTTCAAAGAGGGTACATTAGTTAGCAGCCCAGCGTAGGAAGGTAGACACCTAGCAGTGAGTTCTCAGAGAGAAGCAGGGAGGCAGCACACCCCTTTGTAGTGAGCTGAGATTAGATAGAAGACTGACCAGCGATGTGTAATACCCTTGCTTTAGCTTGGAAGGAAAGTGAAGCCATACACAAACAAATGTTTTGATAACTGCAAGTGTTTATGAGGGATGAGGGCTAGGAGTATCCAATTTATAGTAGGAAATTTCTCTTTCAGCTTTGCTCTTCCTGGGTGTTATGCCGCTTGAAATCAGGAGGTAGAATTTGATAATACAGGTGCTGATAAAAAAAAAGTACACCTGAAATAAGCCTCATAGTCAAGCCTCCTGACAACACAGCAAACCTAGGTGCCATCTAGTACTTAGAGCAGGATTTAAAAGTGATTCTCACCTTTTCCCTCTCATGCCCACTCAATCCATCTCAGACCATTTTGTGGCCTAAACACGCTTCTGAACACAAAGCTCTAGGCAGCCTCTACTAATTTATCCTCCCTCTCTCCAAAATGAGAAGATTCACAATCTTACTTGTCCTAATTTTATAATCACATCCTTGCAGAATAGTAGCCTCCTATTTGAAAGCTATTTACCCACAATGAATGCTACCTATGGAAGATCCCCACAGAGATCCACTTAATTGAGTATGATTATATATCTCATCTGAAAATTTATAACCTTTCCATATTTCCATATGGCATTATTTTAATAATTTAAGCTTAATTATTTTGAACAGTTGTCTTCAGGCTTTATAAGATTATCTCAAAATGATATTGCTACATTTATTTTAGGTCTCCTACATCTTCATTAAGCAGAATAGCATACAATCCTATCAAGTTCAAATCTATAAAAATGCATCTGGAAATTAAATAAATGACAACCAGTGAATTTCCATAATACATATTAACCAATAATGAGATACAGTTTTCATTCATAATATCAGCAATATCTGAAAGACTTGTATTCAGAAACACGGATCCTCTCACATAATACTGGTAAAAATATAAATTGGTACAGTTTTAAAAAGGGCAAAATGATACTATCAAAAGCATAAATGTGCATACTCTTTCCTAGAGCAATTTTATTTCTAGAAATGTATAAACTAAAACATACACTACATTTTGTTGATTTTAAGAAACATAATTTTATATTTTAACATTTCTGAAATTAGAATGTTAGGTTATAGTTTAATTGGCACTTTTTCTTGGTGACATATAAAATAATTGTGTTTTTTAGAATTGACAGACTCGGAGTTTATGAAATATGGTATGTAAGGATATATTATTGAAGCACTGTTTATCTTGGCAGAAAATGAAAAACAATGTAAGTATCTATAAAATGCCATTCTCGGTAGTCATTATGTAGGATAAGGAAGGCATTATGGTAGTATGACCATGATATATTTTAAGAAAAGACATCAAATTATAGATTGATGTGTAAGGGGAAAAAAAGATGAACACTGGGTGTACATTTGTAAATACACATAATATAGCTTTTATAATTAAATATTTTATTAACTTGATGCTAAGAAAGTATCTGGAAAGCAATTAATCTCATTAGAAAAGAGTCAAGAGCAGAAGAACTTAAAATGAAATTCACCTTTTCACTGGTCCATCCCATGCCTGCAAGGAAAGCCATTACCAACGTGCACAGTCCTCCTGATCCAGGGAAACCAAAATGCACACTGCTGAACACAGCTAGCACAGACAACCCCAACACAAGGAATGTCCTCTTACACACAAGTTTGTCCTTTAGGAGAAAAAAATTCATTCAATCAATTATTTCAAATCCCTGATTTTTCATGATTAATAGATTTTTCCATAGCTAGGATATAGAAAGAAAATTAAAATTAAAATGTCTATGTAAATAGACAAAGTGTACAACATAACATTTTCTTTTCTCCAACAAAAGCAGAGTTAGCACACTACAAAGGTGGGTTCTTTCAGGAACTCCAATTCTTCTGCAGTTATCAATGCAGAATTTCACCGGACTTAATGAAGTAGCAGAAAAAATGTACATGAGCTTTAGAGTTGGACAGACCAAGGTTAAACTTAAGCTTTTATACATCATTGGTGTATGTAGTGTCCACGTTGCTTAACCTCTCCAAGCCTTGTTTCCTGAAAGCATTTACATTATAGGGGTTGCATGAAGGTTAAATATCTACCTCTATTATTTTCAGGCTTTATATTTCCTCTTTTAAATTTGATGTTCCCTTGATATTCTTTCTAAACCTTTGAATACCAGGAAGCTTTAAGAGGTTCTAGACTGGCAGAAGTTTTTGTTGCTGTTGTTTTAAAGTCTAACAATTGTGTATTTTTTTCCCCTTTTCTTTTCCGTGTTTGGCCTTTGAAACTTCTTGATCACTTTAGAAAGTAGGTCTTTAAAGTGCTTGACTTGGCAAAGGCATGCAAGCTCTGGAGGTGAATTTCCTGAGTTTATTCCCAGTTCCGCTGCTTTCTAGCAATGTGACCTTGTTCAAGTCACGTATCCTGCCTAAGCCTCAATTACCCTATCAGTAAAATGGTCATAGTAATAGAATCTCTTTATGAACTATTTTGTGGATTGTACTAGAGCAGTGCTTTCCAATAGAATGTTTAGTGATGATGGAACTGTTCTAGATCTGCTATAGCCACACGTAGCTAACGGCTGCTGTACTCAACAAAGTGGCACTAGATGATGATTGACTGATTTAGGTATGTGTGTTGTGTGTGTGTGTGTATGTATGTATGTGTTAGATATGGGCTCTTGCTGTGTTGCCCAGACTGAACTCAAACTCCCAGAGAGATCCTTTTGCCTCAGCCTCCTGAGTGACTGGGACTACCAGGCCTGGCTAGAAGCTAAGGTATTTTGGTATTAAAAAAGAGTAATAAAAAAAGCTACTATACATTTGGGTTTAGTTAAGTATTACAAACATTTTAAAAACTTGCATATCCTATTACTTTGAAACTGATATTATTTATTTTGTAGCGAAATTTTAAATGTACAGAATATAAAAGAGAAACAAATTACAGGACCACGTTAAAATCTTCCATACTGAACCCATTTCATAAATCTCATGGACAGCACTGATACAGCAATAAGTAATTTTAAAATGAGGCCCATTTGCTCAAATATGCCTTTCACATCTGTCTTTGAAGGAAGTGTTCTAGAATGTTTTCCCAATGATATCTGAGAGCACAACCTTCCCATAGATTATTTCTTTCACCTGGTCACGGCTTGGAAAGTATTGAATGAAAAATCCAAGAACAGATCCAGTTGCCACACCAATTACCACCTCCAAAACTCCTCTGAGGACATTAAAGACAGTGGACCCTGAAAAATACATTAAAAAAACTTAGAGCTATAAATCCAACAAATACACAAGTTTTATTCAATAATCATCAACATAAAGCATCTAATTACAAAGAAGGAACATTTTAAAGACCGTTTCTGCTTTGTACATTCTTAATTATGTAAAGAGAAACTATATTTTTCCCCATAGCATACAGGATTTAGGAAACTTTAATTAAAAAAATTTTTTGTTAGCACATTGTGCAGAAAATTATATTAAAGTTTCTCCACACATAAAGCCCTTCTTCATAGACTGTCCTAAGAAAAAATATACTAACTAGTTTCTATGGTCCCTTGACATTATGATAATCATCTCTCTTATCTAAATAAAATTACCTCTGAAGTGATTTTATTGAGCTAGGATAGCTTTCTGCCAGGTAATGCTATGACTGTCAAAAGGATCCAGCTGTGATAGTAGCACTATGCTTAAGCTATTGTGGTAAATAATTTACTATGAATGTGTAGAAAGTAGCTAATTAGCTTCAGTCTATGCTATAGTAAGGTGTTAAAAAAAAAATCTCTTAGGCCCCACCCCTAAAAATCTGATTCAGTATGTCTGGCAGGGCTCAGATCTAAAAGGTCTAAGGAAGATTCTTAGTTGGCTGAGGGTGGGATGGGGAAAGGAAACACAGCAGATTCAGCTAGGAAGGTTCTCCGAGCTGTAGCTTATGAAAACCCCACTGCCTCTGTTCTTTCTCCTCTCACTATCATGATTCTGATACAAACTCTGTTGTTCTAAAGCTGTGGTTCTTAATCCAAGCTGCACTAGTTTCTACTCCCAAAGGTTCTGATTTAATTGGTCTAAGATAGGACCCACATAAGAGTATTTTTAAAAACTGCCCAGGTAATTCTAGAGTGACGCTAAGACTGAAAACCATTGTTTTAATAGTGTATACCAGGAAAGTGGTAAGAACATAATTTGGATACGTGTAGTAGCATTAAAAATAAGAGTATGGATTTGACTTAATAGGTAACAGAGCATCCTCAAGGGTTCCTGAACAAGAAAGTAATACTGTGAAAACAATGTTTTGAGAAAATCAATTTACCAGGGATAGATGGAAGGCAGGCTCTGGAACAATGAGAAAGGGTGGAGTTTTAGGTAACAGGCCTAAGTTATACACAATCATAGAATGGGAAGATAACTATAAGGAGACAATGAGAATATATGACTTTCCAAGATGTGTTACCACAACAAAATCTGAAGCTAAACTTAGGTTATAATTACACTTTGTCAATCATATAACGTTGCAAATTTTATTTCCCAATTTTGGGCATAAGATTAACGAATGAACTTAAACTTGTGCCATGCCACAGGATAATAAAAGCATTGAACTGCTTCTTGGCCTTTTGGCTAAGGTCAAGTGTAGTATCTGTTCACATCAGTTTAATATAGGTGTTGAACAACAGTGGGAGAAAAAATAAAATTCCTCTTTTATTATACTTGAAGCGAAATACATCAATTTCAGACACTAAGTATTAATAGGACACCCATTAGAAGCATTGCTGCTCATTACTTGTAAAAAGCTGAGGAGACAGAAGAAAAAGTGTTCTTATTTTAAAGGCATGCTGTTCCTTTTACTTAGATTGCTCTCTGTCTTTCGTGCTCCTTGAAAAAGCTACTCATCTTTTGTGTGAAGTCTCCAGGCCTAAACTTTCCTGTATCACTTCAAGCAGATGCTGTTCTTTAAATCCTTCTACCTTGTACCTCCCCTACTGCACCTACTGTGTGCTACTTGAGCCATCTCTATGTAGAGGGAGGAAGAGAGTAAAGATAGATAGCTTATGGCCCCTCCTTAGGTACAGAACTCTTAGTGTTGTTTTGCCTATTTTTAATTTGCCTTAATCAATTATCAAGCAAATATGTCATGCTTATAACATTTTAATCTACGTCTCTATAGTGCAAGAGTAAAGCCTGTTGTGAACTCATTAGGTTACCTGTGGAAAAGGCTATGCCCAAGCAGGTGTTGAAGCCAGTGATAGCAAGAATGTCATCGAAGCTGCCAGCTGCCATGAGTAAGGTTGGGACACCTTTCTCAACACCATAGCCTCCTCCCTGCAAAAGGAGCATTGAAGGTACCACAACTGCTGGAGATACAGCACCTAAAACAAAACTAAGCAGACAGTACTTTAAACATTTATGATAACATCTTACTTATTATTATTTTGAAATTATAATACCCTCCACTTTTTTAAGGGTTATATTTTGGACAACTACAGTCGTTCAAATAGCAGAGAAGCATGAATCCAGAAAAACACGTATGTGTAAAACTTCTATAGAACACTGTTTTTCAAAATGTAGCCACAGACATCCAGCTTCAGACTACTTAGGTTGCCTAAAAATGTATTTTTATTGATATAGAAAGCCTAATGAGGGTAAGTCCAGGATGCTGGCTTTTTTAAACAAAAAATTCATGTTACGAAGTTTGAAAAACAATGCATGGGCTTTCTGATTTGGAACTCAGTGATGCTGGGCCTTCTATCAGGGACTGCTATGTCAAACAAGGCCCCAGATTAGAAGAAAACGATATGACAGTCACATTGATGCCAGTAATAACAGCAGTTGTAATGGCAGAAAGCATTTAACAGTACTTACTATGTACCAGGCACCATTTTGAGCACTTTACACGTATTTACTAATTTAATCCTCACAACAACCCTATAAGATAGATATATTCTATCTTAATTTTAGAATTGAGGAAACTGAGACACAGACAGATTAAATAATTGTTAAAGATCACACACTAGAAAATTACAGGGCTGGGATTTGAATTCAGGGAGTAGAGTTCAAGAGTCTTAACCATAAGAAGAATTTCTTATTTCTTGCTGACTTATTAGCATGAAATTCTCACTACGTCCTTTCTTATTTATTTACTTTGTGTGGCTCTTAACCATTGGAAGTAAAGAATTGACAGTGGAAGGAGGAAAACAACGGTAGCTATTGATCACTGTTGCTGTGTTCATTATCTTTTGTGCAGACTTTAGGTGAAATCCAGTGTCTCTTTAATAAGCATGGAATTAGGTAGAGGCAAAGGACCAAGACTTCTTCAACAGTTTGAATAGTAGGTGCTCACTATAAGAGTTAGTGCCTAATAACATATAAACTATATTTTGAATTTAGAATATTTAGATTATGCTGTAACATCTGTCTTGCATTTTCTGATGTCTATAAGAAAATTCTATTATGCATTCTTTTGTATGGAATCAGGGAAAGCCCTAAATATCCCTACATATTGTCATATGACAAATAAACAATAATTACCCTAGTATAAATCCCCATTGCCATGGTAAACCCAGCAGGTAATGGGAAAGAAGAGCAGAAGTGCATGCCTCCACAATACAGGGACCCATGGACAGTCTTACACAAACACCCTTCAACTTCTTCAGGGCCTGAAATAGAAAAATAGACATCCTAATGTAACCTTCTGAAGAGGTGCAGAGAAGATGACCTTCCATGCTTTCTTTTCAGTATATGGACTATGTCTGGGTCATCGCGAGTTTTCAAGGTAATGAGTTTTATTTTAAACAAACACTTTAGCACTCCAGGTGTTTTAAGACAGCTTATTTAGTCCTCACTACAACCTTATAAGTCAGGTAATACTATTATCCCCATTTGTTTTAGATATCCTCATCTGAAAAGTCCCAGACTAAAGTCATTTGCCCAAGACCATGAAACTGGTGAATGATGGGTCCAGGTCTGAACCCAGGCAGGCTGCTTTCAGCATCTGTGTTCATAATCTCTAGCTAATTTAACACTCTCATTATTAGTTTTATTTATAACTTGTGGTCCCAGAATGAGGCTAAGATGAAGAGCTTCATCTGCCAAGGACATTCATTCCTGTATTCAAAGACATACATGAAAACAAAGAGAATTTAAAAAGCATACTTGAGATTCATTAGGCAGTTTCCTGAGCTAGTTTAGTTAGCCCTGAACATTTGTATAGGGCTTCACAAACCAAAAATATGTTGTCTTCTCCCCTATGAGCATTATTTATAACCATGGTCTATATCTATGTCAGAGAAAAGTGGGGCCTTTATTCTTGGTGCTCTCCCCATACACAGACTCTACCTTTCTCCAGGAAAAAGAATGAGACTGGCGGGTAGGGTGGTTCATGCCTGTACTTTGTGAGCACTTTGTACATCCCCAGCACTTTGGAAGGCCGAGGCAGGTTGATTACCTGAGGTCAGGAGTTTGAGACCAGCCTGGCCAACGTGGCGAAAACCCGTCTCTACTAAAAATACAAAAATTAGTGAGGCATGGTAGTGCATGTCTGTAATCTCAGCTACTTGAGAGGCTGAGGCAGGAGGATCACTTGAAGCTGGGAGGTGGAGGTTGCAGTGGGCTGAGATCAAGTCATCATACTCCAGTCTGGGTGACAGAGCGAGACTTCCTCTCAAAAAAAAAAAAAAAAAAAGAAGAGAATGAGACCATCTTTTGAGTTATTGCAAAGCACAAGGTCCTACTTCCAAAACAATCCTCTGTGAAATAAATTCTATTCTATGCTCAAGAAGGTCATGCAAAGTGCCCATATCCCTTCCTAATGCTTAGTGATTCTAAATATCTAAAGTATTGAAGAACCTAAATTCCTATTTAATAATGAGAAATTGACACATCATACCTTTGAATCCAGACCAAGGCCAGCACGAACCAGGATGATAGACAGGGCTATGCTTCTCAAAGAGGAAGACCACTTGTGCTTAATCTGTACATTATCATTGATGACTGGGATATTTCTGATGAGAAACCCTGCAAGCAGCATGCCTTGAATGAAGAAATCAAACATGTCTAGTTAGTTTTCAAATACAGAAATTATTTTTAGTACTTTAATTTTATAGACACTACGATATAATCCCAGGAACCACTTCACTAATGCTTAGAAGAAATTAAGTCAAACTTTTAATTAAAAAAATAGTATAATAAATTAAAGCAGCTAAGAAAATACTTTGATGTGCAGATAAAAAGATAGATTATAATAATTAATATTATCAAAATAACTGAACTTAAAAGGGAGATAAGATGCAGCATTTAGATAGATAGTACAATCAAATTCTAAATTTAACATGTTTTTTAACATCTAAATACAATGCCAGTTCAATCATCCCCTTGTGTGCAAACAGCAAACAGCCCCTGAAATTATTTGCTATGTCAGATTACTTGAAATATCAATAAATACTTCTATGGATTCTATTTTACCTTCAGACTAGATAATTTCATAAGAGACACATAACCTACTTTTCAAAGGTTTTAGATACCAATTATGATAAAATGGACATTGCTCTTTGATGTCAGCCGGTGACTTCTTTCACTCAGTCATTCAGCTCTACTGAATGCCTTCAGTAGTTCAGACACTAGAGTGTGCATCATGCACATAATAATGGGCTACATTTCAACAAGCTTTCAGCCTCTAGGGAACAAGACAAGTGGACAATATCAATTTTATGAAAGCATGAGGGGGATGTTATATGAGCTGAGGCAGGGAGGGGGATTTCGAGAAGCGGGAAGGGGAGGAAGAAATGGTTGGGGGAGTTAAGAAGTTTCTGGAAAAGACAGTAGTTTATTCAAAAGTAGAAGAAAAAGTGACTCACTCTGGAAACTGCAAGTAGTTGAGTGTAACTGAGGAAACTGGGTAGTTTGTGAGGGAATTCTGCCTTCATTGATACCACATGCCCACACAAAGGGAAAGGTTTCTGTGAGAGACTGTGAGCCTCTTCCTTCCATGCTTCTCCAGCAGTGCCTTCTTTTCACCTTGTCCTTATAAGCACCACACTTCAAACAACTAAATAAATTTACCGAAGTTGGTATATTTTGTGATGCAAGATGGGAGAAGAGAGACAACCTGCAAGTAGAGCTTTTTGTGACCTGTTGCACATGAAAGCATTGTGCCAGGCGTCTCATCTCTCATCACTGCCATTTATCTACGGGAAAGACTCTAAGTTCTGAATGCGGCAGTGACAGTCTTTCTGGAACGTTTATTGGGCAACAGTATCAACAGGCTTGGTTTTTGGAAGAAATAATGATGAGTTATATGTGCACATGTTAAAATAAAGAAACTGTTGACAAATGTAAAGTGACAAGTGCATACTGTATCCCAGCTGCAACTTTCCATCTTCATTGAATTTTTTTCACTGTTATGGGTCTTCTGTGCCGTTCCGGAGAGTTTCTGTACCTATTCAAGCATATTTCTGTGTGTATATGCTCTTTTGTGCTGGACACAAATAGGACACTTATACACTGCTGTACAACTTGGTTTTTTTCCCATTTAATAATATATGCTGCACATCCTCCCACTGAAGCACATATGTATTTGCTTTATTCTCCTTTAATAGCTGCAATAGTATCTCACTGTTTGGAAGGTTCCTAATTTCTGGACCACTAATCTATTAACAGATTTTAAGGAATCTTTCAGGTTTTTCATTATAAACAGTTATGAAACAAACACAATTCATACACCAAGCATTTAAGTGCTTGCTACATGCTAGCCCTGTATCTGATCCTAGTAACAAAGAGGTGAACTAGACGAGCAGTTCCCAGACTTTTTGGCACCAGGGACCGGTTTCATGGAAGACAGTTTCCCCACGGATGACAGGGGGAATGGATTCGGGATGAAGTTTTTCACCTCAGATCACCAGGTATTAATTCAATTCTCATAAGGAGCACAAAGCCTAGATTCCTTGCATGTGCAGTTCACAATGGAACTCATGCTCCTATGAGAATCTAATGCCACTGCTAATCTGACAGGAGGCAGAGCTCAGGCAGTAATGCTCGCTCACCTCCTGCTGGGGCTTGGGGACTCTTGAGCTAAACGAATGTGGTCTTTGTCCATATTGAGCTCATATACTTGCAGGTTTGTGTAACGATATTCATATTATAATTCCTAGCAGTGGAAATATTAGGTCTATGGTATAGGTATATATCATTTTTATATGTATTGAGGACTTACCAGCCAAAAATGCTGCACTAATGCTTACATTCATTATTATGACAATAGCTCTTTAACGAAATTTAAAACTCGTGTCTAAACAACTCCTAATAATGACCTGAAATCAAATGGAATAACCTAAGAAGAACTCAAAACTATGTTAAGAGGTTTTTCTTTTTTGTTTGTTTTGGGGGTATGAAGAAGCATTTTTTTTTTTTTTTGAGACAAGTTCTTGATATGTCACCCAGGTTGGTCTCAAACTCCTGGGCTCAAGCGATTCTCCCACCTTAGACTCCCAAGGTGCTGGGATTACAGGTATGAGCCACTGCTGTCTCTCCTGGCCTAAGAGAGCATTTTTCATTCCTGAAATGAATGTTAGAACAGTTTCTCTGGGAGACTGTTTCCTTTGCTAGTGGACTGGTTGATGTAATGTGACCACCTGATTTTGATTTGGCACATGTCCCCACTATTGCCTCTAGGGCCTCCCTTGGAGGAAAGAACATCTTCCTTGTTAGAGGAGTGTTGTTCTCTTTTAAAAATTTGTATTATGAAAATTATCAACAGATGACCAACCTGATTTCATCTACTTCCAGTTTATTTTTTTGTAATTTGTATTATGGAAATTTTTTCAATAATGATTTGCCTTCTCTTCCAAAGGGAAGCTATTTTCAAGTTTATTTCAGGAAATCAGAATTGCTCACTCATACTTCATCCCTGACAACCTCTTCAATTAAACTCTTAAAAATATCAAACAGATGGCCGGGCACAGTGGCTCACACCTGTAATCCTAGCACTTTGGGTAGCCAAGGCAGGTGGATCATGATGTTAGGAGATCAAGACCAGCCTGGCTAACACGGTGAAACCCCGTCTCTACTAAAAATACAAAAAGTTAGCCAGGCTTGGTGGCATGTGCATGTAGTCTCAGCTACTTGGGAGGCTGAGGCAGGATAAGTGCTTGAACCCAGGAGGTGGAGGTTGCAGTGAGCCGAGATGGCACCACAGCACTCCAGCCTGGGCAACACAGTGAGACACTCCATCTCTCTCTCTCTCTCTCTCTCTCCCCCACCCCTATATGTATAACAGGCAATCATCACATATTTTGTCTTAATAAGTTTCCTTTATGGGTTCAGATAATGCTTCAGTTTTGGATAGTGGCCTTAATATAATAAGAACAAGTAAACTTTTTTCCTCTATGAGAGTATACAACTATTAAAAAGGATGGTGAAATATGTATGTAATTTTTGAGAATGATTTCAGTTACCACAAATTTCATTTGATCCACAAGATCCCAAGACTTTACATCTTTTTGCAACACAGTGTATTTTGTTTTTGCAATAGGCATGGAGTGAAAAAAAGACAAATGGGGTATAATGGGAACTTCCATGTGTCTAGAACAACAGTCTTCATCATAGGTTGCATATTAGAATAATCTGGAGAGCTTTTTACAACTTCTGATGTCCAGGCCATACACTGTTATCAATTAATTCAGAATCTCTGGGGTAAGACCTAGGCATCAGTTGTTTTTTTTTTTTTTTTTTCAGATGGAGTCTCACTCTGTCGCTAGGCTGGAGTGCAGTGGCATGATCTCAGCTCACTGCAACCTCTGCCTCCCAGGTTCAAGCTATCCACCTGCCTCAGCCTTCTGAGTAGCTGAGATTACAGGTGCGTGCCACCATGCCCAGCTAAATTTTTTTTTTTTTATATTATTAGTAGAGACAGGGTTTCACCATGTTGGCCAGGATGGTCTCAATTTCCTGCCCTTGTGATCCACCTGTCTTGGCCTCCCAAAGCATCAGCTTTTTACAGACAGGTGATTCTTGGCACGATGGCTCACACCTGTAATCCCAGCACTTTGGGAGGCCAAGATAGAAGGATTGCTTGTATTCAGGAGTTCAAGACCTGCCTGAGCAACAAAGTGAGGCCCCATCTCTACAAAAATCAAGAAGATGTAGGGGTATGTGCCTGTAGTCCCAGCTACCAGGGAGGCTGAGGCAGGAAGGCTGAGCCCAGGAGGTTGAGGATGCAGTAAGCCATGACTGTGTAACTGCGTTTCACCTTATGCGAGTGAGACTCTGTCTCAAAAACAAAACAAAACAAAGCAAAAAAACCAACAAGAAATTCTTATGTGTAGCCAGGTTCTAGAATTAATGATTTTGCTACATAAAATGTGCTCTTAGAGCTTAGAAATGCAGAATCTCAGGCCGCGAAGACCTACTTAGTTAGAATTTGTATTTAAAAAAATTCCAAGGTCATCCTCTATATAATAAAGTTTGAGAGTCACTAATTTTGACACAAGGGACAGACAATTAATCTCTTAGGCTCTGTGGGCCATACAGTCTCTGTTACAACTTTACAACTCTACCAGTATAATGCAAAGTAGACACAGACCATATGGAAATGAATAAGCATGGGTGGGTTCCAATTAATATTCAATTTATAAAAAGAAGTACTCTGCCAACCCTTTATTCTAGCATACAGGCATATTAAGAAGCAATTCATTTTAGTAGTAGTTCAATTAATAATTTTAGAGAACCAAAAGCATCCATGAGAAATAATATGAATTAAGTGGAATACTTTAGTTTTACCTAAAATGAGAATTACACTGAGAAATGTGGCATAGTTAGAGATAAATAATTCTACTTCTTTTTATATTTAATTTTAATTACTGATCACAAGTTCAAAAGCAAATAGTACTGGTGTCTGTTAGCCAGTCCTGATTGTTCTCACTCATATAGCTAACAGAAAAAAAAAAAATCTTCAGGAAACGTGCAAATATATATGCATGTATGAAAGCAGGTTGTTTTTTACTAAAACTGGGTGATAATAAATATGTTAGAAATGAACACAAAATGTCTTTGTGATAAACAAATTTTATAATGCAGAATTCTTTGAAGAAACATTAAATGTATCACACCTAGTGTTAAGAATAATTTGTGTATGTGTCTTGTTTGGGCAGTTCTCCTTGTCTCTGGAGGAGTATTTTCAGCTATGTCTTCAAGAATCATAATATTTTATTTCACTTTTATCTTTTTTGAGATGGAGTGTCGCTCTTGTCACCCAGGCTAGAGTGTAGTGGCACGATCTTGTCTCACTGCAACCTCCACCTCCCTGGTTCAAGTGATTCTCCTGCCTTAGCCTCCCAAGTAGCTGGGATTACAGCATGCCCAGCTAATTTTTGTATTTTTAGTAGAGATGGAGTTTCACCTTGTTTGTTTTCAGTAGAGATGGATTTTTCCCCAGGCTGGTCTCGAACTCCTGACCTCATGTGATCCACCTGCTTTGGCCTCCCAAACTGCTGGGATTATAGGCGTGAGCCACTGTGCTCAGCCAATATTATATTTAAAATATACCCAATGGTGTGCTGTTAAGTGCTTAACAAGTGGCTTACTGAAAAACGTATGCATTTTATATAGGCACATACATTATTAAATTTTACTGATATAAAGGACGTGCAGCACACAGTTTACAAATATACAGTCTCCACTGTAAATTCTATATAGCCAATTTCTTCTCACAGAATGTTTTCATTGCTATTTTTCAAACTTCTGTGTCCACAACCAACTATGGTTGCAGTTCTACCAAGATTTGACAGAATCAGACTACAAATAAGTGGTTGTATACTATCTGCAAAGAAGTCACACATCGTGGATGAGTGAGTGCAGGTTCACCATGAATGTTACTTGATATTTTTGCTTATATTAATTAATAAGATGAAAATAAAACAATAAAAATACATGTCAGAACTTGACTCTGTCAATGATGTAAGTGACTTACACAATGACAAACCTTGATTTGTAGCATTTGCTGATTTTTTTGCTACAGATACTTCTACCATGGCTGATTTTAAGCTACAATATGAAGTCACTGAATGTGGAGTTGGGAAGAGGTGGCAGTGGCACACCATTATATAGTATTTCCATAATCTCAAGAGCATAGGTGAGGGGAAACAGAGTAAAACATTAGGAAGTGATCCGTCTTGAACACTGACTGCTTGTTTTTAATGTCAGTTATTTAATTTTAAGTTTGTATATGTACATATTTTTGTGATCAGGTCTTGTTCTGTTGCCCAGGTTGTAGTGCAGTGGTGCAATCATGGCTCATGGCAGCTCTAACCTCCCAGGTTCCATCAATCCTCCCACCTCAGCCTTCTGAGTAGCTTGGGACTACAGTCACCAAGCCCGGCTAATTTTTGTATTTTTTTGTAGAGATGGGGTTTCGCCAAGTTGCCCAGGCTGGGCTCCAACTCCTGAGCTCAAGCAATCTGCCTACCTTGGCCTCAGCACCCGGGCCAGGATAATTCAAGTTTTTAAATTGCCATGTTTAACAACTGGATCACAGGACTCCTCAAAATTTAACAACTGGCTTTTGGCTCCAGCATGGCAAATACAGAAATATTTTATACCTTCATTTCCCAAAGCTTTCCAAACTATTATTTTAAAAATATGGTTTACTCTGGAGAAAACAGGAAACATTTAACACTTACCAAGAAGGGAAGGCAGTGGAGGCAATGTAGGTAACTTGATAAGCTCCAAAAGTTTACCTCCAGTGATGGCACAATAGAATAGGATTATAATTCCAAAAAGGTTTCCTCCAGGAAGACATTCACTGCCAGTAATTGACCAAACCACAGCCCACAGAAGAACAGTGATGGTAACTGAAATAAACCAGGAATACTACTTACTATAAATCAGTCGTCACATGCAGGTTTTGAACACAATCTAAAATAATTTTTAAAAATAAATACTGAATGAAAATGCAAATATTTATAATCATGTTTAATCTGTAAAGAGTATCAGTAAGATGAACAACTGGGTAACTGCCAACATCTTAAAAAATAGGATATTATCAGTACTTATGAATTTGCCTATCTGCCCCTCCTCATCCATCTCCCTTTACCCTGCCAGAAGGAACCATTAATTTTTTTCACCATTCACCTATTTTTCTTTATAATTTTACCACAAATATATTATTTAGTTCTGCCTTGAATTAGACATTATTGTTTCTTTTTTATAGTCAGTATTTGTTTAGAATTACCTACAAAGTTACCTTTTTCGAAATCGTTATTCATCATGGCATTTCAAACTTTTTTTTGTTTGTTTTGAAACAGGGTCTCTGTAGCCCAGGTTGTAGTACAGTGGCATGATTATGGCTCACTGTAACCTTAACTTCCCAGGCTCAAATGACCCTCCTGCCTCAGCCTCCTACATAGCTGGACTACAAGTGTGTATCACCATGCCTGGCTAACTTCTTAAAATTTTTTTAGTAGAGACAGGGTTTCCTCATGTTACCCAGGCTAGTCTCGAACTGCCAAGTTCAAGCAATTCTGTCTCAGCCTCCCAAAGTGCTGGGTTTGTAGGTGTGAACCATCTTATCTGGCCTCAAAATTTTCATCTGGGACAATTATCCTGCTGCCTAAAGTGTCTCCTTTAGGGAAAAGCATTTCCATAAGAATGTGAAATAGGCCAGGCATGGTGGTTCACGCTTGTCCGGTCACTTTAAGAGGTCAAGGCAAGAGGACTGCTTGAGCTCAGGAGTCTGAAACCAGTCTGAGCAACATAGTGAGATCTCATCCCTACTAAATATAAAATGTAAAAATTAGCTGGATGTGGTGGTGGGCACACGTAATCCCAGCTACTCAGGAAGCTGATGCAGGGATCACTTGAGGCCAGGAGTTCAAGGATGCAGTGAGCTACAACTGCACCACTGCACTCCAGCCTGTTACACAGCAACACCCTGCCTTAAAAAAAAAAGAAATGTTTGCCTGTTTGAAAACCTGTGTTTTATAAAACTGTATACTAAAAATTGAAAAGCTCATGGGGAAAACAAAGTTGGGGCAGACCACTCAAAACTGGTGACCAAAGCACTAAGAAAAACCAAAACAATCCTAATAAGAGTCTTAGCACAGATGGATCTACACTGACATTTGTGTCCCACACAAGCAGTCTGCTCTTTACAGACTTAAACCTGGCATCACATTGCCTACTTCAGAATGGAGATTCTCAAGGGTATTTTCTTTAAACAGAGAGCCGTCCCATCGAAATCTGATCCATATTGTGGCTCTCTGCAGGTATGAAAAAAAGGTCAACCAAAGGAAAAGCGTTGGCAGCTTCTTGACCTCAGCCCCTTCATCCACATGCGTAGTTTTATTAGATAGCTTAATGTTGTCGAATGTTTGAGTCCTTGAAGCCCCTAAACCAGCTACTAATTGATTGAAAAGACAGCACTCCTACAGAGATTTTATCTTTTAAAAGGTTCTCATGCAGGGTAGGCTTTATCTTTCATTGTAAGAAAGCATATATTTGGTCTTTTTTTTCCCCAATTCACTTTGCCTTCACTTGCTAGTGCTTAATGATACAAAATATTAATGGACCAGGAAAAATCATACACAAAACTGCAAATTCCATGCACTCTGACACAATTCTCCTATTTACCATTGCATATTAGCTAATTTGTGATATAGAAACACTCTATATCAGCATGCTGTATTTCTCAGGAAAGTCTGTTGTAGAGAATTCTTAGTTTTATTATCTGAAATTATCTTTATTCTCATTATTAAAATACAGCTTTTCTGGGTACATCCCAGTTTTACCTTAAATTCTATGTAGAGTATTATTGTCTCTCTGTTCCTTGAAAATAACATTCCTTGGTTTTTCTGGTTTTGAAGAGCCTAATTTCAGCTGTTTAAGGAATTCTTTTTCTTTGTTTTTAACATCTTCTCTTTTTCTTTGGCTTTGATTTCAGCATGATGTGTTTATGTGTGACTTCCTTTTGTTTTGCTTAGGATTTTTTTTTTCAAAAATCAATTCTGGAAAATTCTTAGCCTTTATTTCTTCAAATGTTTCCTCTTTCCCATTCTCCTTTTCTATGTTGCTAACCCTAGTTCTCATATTTTTCATCTTTGTGTGTACTGCATTCTAGGTAATCTCTTCAGATTTATTCACCAGTTCACCATTTTTTTTTAACTTATTCTGCTGTCTAATTTGTCCATTGAGTTTTTAATTTCAACTACTATCCTATAGCTTTCATTTCTAGAAGTTCAAGTTGGTTCTTCTTCAAATCTATTCATTTTTAAAATAGTTATTTGTTTTTTACTAATATTTTCTATTTTTTAACTTCCTAATAAATGTCTTATATCCTATTTGCTGATAATGCACATTTTTGAAATCAGTTTTGTTTCCTTTTGCATGTTGTGGTTTTTTTTTTTTGTTTTTTTGGTTTTTTTTTTGTAACAGCGAGCTCTCCGTTGAAACTCTGTCTAAAAGTAAACTTTTTAGTTTGTCTTTTGCAACAGTAAGCTCTCCCTTGGAACTCTGTCCAACTTTGTTGGAACATTCAGTTGAATGAGTTTTCCCAGATGGGATCTGAATTTATTTCTACCATGTACTTAAAAGCTTACCATCTGAGACCATCTGAAAAAGTCTGAAAATAGATACATTTTCAAATTGAATTGTTTCTGTGAAATTGAAGACAAATCAGGATGAAGTTAAACATTTTTATTGGAGACTCCACACCTGCCCCAGCCAGCAACCACAGTTGAGACAGGTTTAGTTACAGGCCCCACCTACAGAACAGCTTTACCTCAAATTTGCCATCACACTGGGTTTCAACTTCATGTGGGTGAAGGAGAATGCTTTTTTTTTGGTTAGAATCTCCCAACCCGGGCAGGCTCTAGTTTAGCCTCCTGTGCTCTCAGCACTCTCAAAATCAATCTCAAGTGCCCTGAGGTTTAGAAACCTCCACAGTGGAGCCACCTTGAGTGCTTATTGACCTCTTCTACTTACAGTTTGGTTTTGGTATCTGATGATTCCCTGTTTTCTTGACAGATTATTTCAAAAGACTTAAAATATTTTTTCAGATGATTTCCTTGGTTTGTGACAGGATTGCTCATTGAGTCTTGTCTACCACAATGCTAGAGATTGAATTCAATGTACCTTTTTCTAAATCCTCACAGAATTGTTCCAGATTTTCTAGGCTTATGATACTACTGCAGTAAAATAACTAAGGGACTTTTGTTATTTTCCAATTAGCTACAAGGGTTAAAATTTCTATGCAATATTAGAGGTAGATTGGGAAAGCAGGATTTGCCAGCTATTATACTAAATTCTCCTTTAGTGCAGCATAAACCCAAGTCAATATTAAATTCAGCAAGGTGGAATTAAGATTCATGTTTTCTCTTTTCTACTTCAAGATAAGTCTTGTCTACCGTACTGCCATATAAAAAAAAAAAAAAACTCTCTCTTTCCCTGTGCCTTACTTGAAATACCGTTGTAACTACATAGCAAATGGTATGTCTATAAAGTTTCTCTAAATCATGTTTAAATCAGTTAACAATTTATTTCTCACTTACAATTATGGAAAACCACAAATTTTCACATGTAGGATTTACTTTTTTTTTTTTTTGAGATGGAGTTTCACTCTTGTTGCCCAGGTTGGAGTACAATGGCATGATCTCGGCTCACTGCAACCTCCACCTCCTGTATTCACGTGATTCTCTTCCCTCAGCCTCCCAAGTAGCTGGAATTACAGGCACCCACCACTACGCCCAGCTAATTTTTTGTATTTTTAGTAGAGACAAGGTTTCACTATGTTGGCCAGGCTGGTCTCGATCACCTGAACTTGTGATCACCTGCCTTGGCCTCCTAAAGTGCTGGGATTACAGGAGTGAACCACCATGCCTAGCCTACTTTTTAAGAAGAATACTGATATATACTGCATAGACACAGGAAAGAATATAGGACAAAAGTTATCTTCTAAACCTCTGGAACAGAAGAACAGAAAAATAAGCAATGAGATGTTTATTTACCATGAATCTCATTTTTTCAGGCTGCTTTATGAATGATTATACAATTAAAAAATATGAGCCTCAAAATTACATTATTCATTTTTCACTCTTTCCTTATGTTGGTCCATATCTATTTCACTGTAGACATTTTAACTATAAATGTGCCACATTTTGAATAATAAAAGTTTTTTTTTAAAATAAAAAGAACAGAAAATGCATTAAATTATCTGTTGCCTTATCAGTTAGCATCCATTTTTGGATTCTGGTTTTCTATACATGTTCTAAGTTTGAGATTTTCTTCCACGCTAGTTAAGTAACCTGACTTGGTTTCATTAAAAACATACGTAGAGCCTAAAGTATCACATATTATGCTTGGCTTTCACTGTCCCAGATGATAATGGTAAACATGTCTTTCAGAGCCCACAAAGTATAACTATAGAACTGAGTCTCATTTTTCAGTAAACATAACATATATGGGCATCCATATATTTACTTCAATAATGTTATTATACCTCAGTGCAATTTTCGAAATTGTCTTTAAATCTCCTTTAAAAGGCAAATTTTAGTAAGGCATAAAATTATGAGACTATTAGGAAAAAAACATAAGGAAAAAACATAAAAAAATTTTAGTAAGGCATAAAATTATGACATTGGTCTGAGCAATGACTTTTTGGATATGACTTCAAATATATAGGCAACAAAAGCAAAAACAGACAAAGCAGATTATATCAAACTAAAAAGCTTCTGCCCAGCAAACAATCCACAGCATGAAGAGAACCTACAGAATGGGAGAAAACAGTTGCAAACTATGTACCTGGCAAGGAGTTAATGTCCAGAATATAAAAGGAACTGAAAAAACTCAACAGCAGGAAAACAAATAATCCAATTTAAAAATGGCCAGAGGACCTGAATTTTTCAAAAGAAGACATATGAATGGCCAACAGGTATAGGAAGAAATGTTCCACATTTCACCTCATTCCTATCAGGATGACTATTATTCAAAAGACAAAAGATAACAAGGGGTTGGCAAGAATGTAGAGAAAAGGTAATCCTGTGCACTGCTGGTGGGAATGTAAATTAATATTACCATTATGGAAAACAGTATGGAGAGTCCTCAAAAAAGTAAAAATAGTACTACCATATGATCCAGCAATCCTATTACTGGGTATGTATCCAAAGGAAATGAAATCAGCATGTTGAAGAGATGTCTGCACTCCCTTTTTTATTGCAGTACTATTCACAATAGCCAAGATACAGAATCAACCTAAGTGTCCAACAATGAATGACTGGGTGAAGAAAATGTGGTATACACACAATGATATACTTTTCAACCATAAAACAGAATGAAATCCTGTCATTTGTGACAACATGGATAAACCTAGAAGACATTATGCTAAGTCAAATAAGTCAGGCACAGAAAGACAAATACTGCATGTTCTCACTCACATGTTGAATCTAAAAAATGTTGTTCTTATGGAAGTAGTAAATAGAACAGCGATTACCAGAGACTAGGGAGGGGAAGAGCTTGGGGTTATGGGGAGAGAGTGGTCAACAGGTACAAAGTGATAATTAGATAGGAAGAGTAGTTTGTTCTGTAGCACAGTAAAGTGACTATAGTTAGGAATAAGGTAATGTATACCTCGAAATAGAAGATTCTCTGTTTTCTTACCACAAAGAAATAATAAATGCTTCAGGTGACAGATATGCTAATTAGCTGGATTTGATCATTACACAATATATACATGTATCGAAACATCATATTGTACCCCACAAATACATACAATTATGTGTCAAAAATTAAATAATGCTTATGAATGGATGTTTATGTTTTTGAACAATTCATTTTATATTTTGATGTTAAAATTGTTTTCTCTTTTGAAAATATGATTTGTAAAGGTGAAAAATTGTGGATAGATTCCAGGCATTTAAAAGTTGGCAGGTTGGCCAGGCGTGGTGGCATAATACCAGCACTTTTGGATGCCTACGTGGGCGGATCATGAGGTCAAGAGATTAAGACCATCCTGGCCAACAAGGTGAAACCCCATCTCTACTAAAATATGAAAAATTAGCCAGGCATGGTGGTGCATGCCTGTAGTTCCAGCTACTTGGGAGGCTGAGGCAGAGGAATTGCTTGAACTGGAGAGGGGGAGGTTGCAGTGAGCTGAGATTGCATCACTGCAATCTAGCCTGGGCAACAGAGCGAGACTCCATTTCAAAAAAAAAAAGTTGGCAGGTTAAAACTAGTTTTGCCAGGTGCAATGATATACATCTGTAATCCAAGCTACTTGGGAAGCTGAGATGGGAGGATCCCTGGAGCCTGGGAGTTCAAGACCAGCCTGGGCAACATAACAAGATCCTATCTCCAGGAAAAAAAGGTGGAGTGGGTGAGAGGTGAAAGTGCAAGGAAGACAATGACCAATGCCTTGACATATAAATTTCTAGACTTTAAATCTAAAGATCCATGGAAAAAAAGACCACACACACACACACACACACACACACACACACACCCATATATCTCAAGTATACTGGGTGATATATATTAGGTTCTTGGGATATAAAATTTCAGTTAGACAGGAAGAGTAAGTTTAAGAGGTTCTATTGTACAACATGGAGACTATAGTTAATAATATATTGTATTCTTGAAAAATGCTAGGAGCAAATGTAACATGTTCTCATCACAAAAATGATAGCTATGTGAGATAATGCATATGTTAATTAGATCAAATTAGTCATTCCACTATGTAGACATACTTCAAAACATCATGTTGTACAAAGTAAATACATACAATTTTGTCTGTCAATGTAAAAAACAATACATTTTAACTATCAATCAAAGTATATTGTCTTCTTAAAAAAAAACTAATTTGCCTTTATAGATAGATAATTTTCAAATCTCTTCTTTTATCTACTATATCACATATCCCCTAGCACACACAGACACATATGCACACAATTCCTTTTTGAACAAAAATATGGTATAAATGAATCTGAACTTTCATGTATTTATCAAATTGATAGCAGAATAACCTTTGGCTGTCTCCAAAGACCAAATTCATTCCTAAAGGACAAATACATCACAACCTTAAAAATATTCAAAATATTGTTGACATAAATTCCCAAAGAAAAATCCCCCAAATGTCTTATGCAACAGCAGCTCTACTAAAATAAGCTGAATTGCAAACCAATAATTCTTACTTATAAAGTAATAGAATTCATTTGGAAGTATAAATGGGGCTGTGTTTGCTAAAATGTTAGTTGCATTAGTTAAAAGTAATAACAACCAACATTTATGTAGTATTTTAGATAGTCCTAAAGTAATCCTGTGAAATTACTCAGATATGGTAAAGAAAAAGGTCCTTGATCTGTGTTTCTGCCCACTTCCCACAATGATGGTGACCACAGTGATCCTGGAAGCCAAGGTGAAGATGGTGGAGTCCTGTTAGCCTAGATCCTTTCCTTGAATTGTAGAGCACAGCCACCTATGTGTGTGAATTGTTTACCAAGTAGTTTTTATATGTGGGAGAAGTCAACTTCCTTTTGTCCTTTCAACCAAATTATTTAGGAATCTGTCATTATAACAGCTTCATCTTTTGCCATCTCCTTCTGAATTCATCCTTACCGTTTGTTACGACCTTGTCCAGTAAACCATGTGGAGGGCAAGCCAGCATTTGTCTCAGTTTTTGTATGTGATTTGCTTCAGTTGGTGTTTCTTGTAGTTTTTTTTCACTGCTATCCAATAGGATACTGCCTTCTGTTGGTTCATTTCCATCTATGCCTTTGAGGTTCATAACTGTCTCCTCCTATATTTAAAGTAATTTTGAAAATCCTTAAAACTGTACATATTTTACACATTTTTATAGGTACTGCATCATCCCCTTACAAATCAGATTTCTATGACTAGAATCAAGGGTAACACTTTGTAGGGAAAATATACAACTTTACTACTAGCTAATCAGTTTGAAATAAGAATTATGCTAGGAGTATTTAGCACTGTCACTATTTTTAGTACTGGCCGAGTATCACTAATCTGGAACTCTAAAATCTGAAATACTCCAAAATCTGAAACATATTTTTTTGAGATGGAGTTTCACTCTTGTTGCCCAGGGTAGAGTGCAATGGCTCAGTATCAGGTCACTGCAACCTCCACCTCCCAGGTTCAAGCAATTTTCCTGTCTCAGCCTCCGGAGTAGCTGGGACTACAGGTGAGCACCCCCGTGCCTAGTTAATTTCTGTATTTTTAGTAGAGACAGGCTATCACCATGTTGGCCAGGATGGTCTCGATCTCTTGACCTCATCATCTGCCTGCCTCTGCCTTCCATATTGTTGGGATTACAGGCATGAGCCACCTTGGCCAGCCAAAATCCGAAACTTTTGAGCACTGTCATGACACACAAGTAAGAAATTCCACACCTAAACTCACATGACAGGTAACAGTCAAATGCAACTTTGTTTCATGAAGAAAATTATTCAAAATATTATATAAAATATATAAAATAAGGTATGTATGAAACATAAATAAACTTTGTGTTTAGACTTGGGTTCCATCTGCAAGATATTTCATCAGGTGCATGGAAATATTAAAAAAAAAAAACAAAAAAAAACCCCAAAAAATCCAAGACACATCTGGTCCCAAGGATTTCAGGTAATGAATACTCAACCTGTATTACAAATGCTTGGGTTACATAATATTTTATTATGTTTTTTAATACTTGGTTTTGTTTTGCTTTTTGAGATGGAGTATTGCTCTTGTTGCTCAGGTTGGAATGCACTGGTACGATCTTGGCTCGCCAAAACCTCTGCCTCCCAGGTTGAAGCGCCTCTCCTGCCTCACCCTCCTGAGTAGCTGAGATTATAGGCATGCACCATCACGCCCAGCTAATTTTGTATTTTTTGTAGAGATGAGGTTTCTCCATGTTGGTCAGCCTGGTCTTGAATTCCTTACCTCAGGTGATGTGCCCGCCTTGGCCTCCCAAAGTACTGGGATTACAGGCATGAGCCACCGTGCCCGGCTATAATACTGGCTTTAAAAATAAGAGTATTTAAGATAAAATTCAGGGTAATAATTGGCACATATCCAAAGCAGTTTAGGAAAAGATAACTCTCTGTAATAAAAACCAGTTCACATTCATTAATATACTTGAATTTAAGCAATAAAAAGAAAGGAAAAAAAAGCAAAACCACTGATTAGGTCAATGACACAAAGCATTTCACATGCTCTCCATTTTTACAGTCACAGGTAGGGTCAGCTGCCAATGATGTTAGCTGGGAAAAGTGGTAGTCACACCTGCCCTGGACTGTGTGAGTTTGGGGATGAGAGAATTGGTAAATGAGTGGTAGAATATGAAGAAAATAAAATTCTATCACAGCTTAGATTTACCTGTGTTTCTTGATGCATAGAGGCCATGTGATTCATTCCTGTTGATGGTTCTGAATCTTCACATGTAATTCTTTTATCTTCATCCTCCATAATTTATAATTAAGAAAATGACAGAGGGAAGAGGAACAAGATCTGTTTTGAAAGGGTATAGATATAAAGCAGTAAATTGAAAGTCTTTTAAGTTCAAAGATTTTGGATTACACTTATTTTTTTCCTAAGAATTCTGAATGGCTAAACTATTTGAAATTAGACTATTCTTAATTTTCAATAGCTGTTTTTTTGCTTGATTCCAGTATATTATCATTATTCTTATCTACCTTTTTACTTCTCTTGGAAAAAGCCTTTGTTGACCAATCACATGTTTATGATTTCTTTCCCACTCTGTTTTTTGTCAGTTATATGTCAAAACATTCCAAGCAATATCACTAGTAAATTGTCCTAATGAGCCAACTGGATGAATCAGGAAGGCTCCAGGTAATTTTCCAGTGTTGATATAAGGAATGTGTCACTAATGGGAAATTTCTGAATTCCATCATTTTCGGAGAATCTAGATTTGCTAACTCCCGCCTGGTTCTTAATTCTAAATTAAAGTTTAAAAATACATCACCAATGACTAAGTAGCCACAATGTCTTAGACACTATGATAAGTGCTATGGTAGTAGTCACTTTCTAGTCATAGCAGGCAATTCAAAGAATAACAAAACACATTTATTTTCCATAGACATATTATATACCAGGAAAAATAAATTTATACCAGTGACTAAGAAAACCTGTAAGAGAGACTACAGATTGGCTCAATAAACACTCACTTGAAGCCATTCTCCCTTGGCTTTCCCTGCTATACAGGCTACAAGGGAAATACAGTACTCCAGCTCCTAGCCACTTTTGAGGGAGAGGTGGGCATTTGTCACAGTTTTATATATGAGATGCAGGTGAGAATTTCAGGAGAGGCCTTTAGAGGATAATACTTTTTAACTCTTTGTCCTCTAACATTTCCTTTTCTCCTTCCTAGAATGTAGATACAGTGCCTGGAAGGGCAGCAGACATCTTTCAAGCCTGAGAATAAAAGCCCTCCACTTAGTAGATAAATAAGATGGGAGGAGCTAGTACCCTGATGACATCTTTGAGTTGCTCCATCAGTCTTGGACTGCCAAGCATTGCAGTAATTGTTTAAACCACTATTAATCAAGTTTTATTTTTTTGTCTTTTTTAACTAGCAAGGAAACTAAATGCAGCAAGTACAATGAGTATCCCAATAGAGGTACACACTGCAAACTTTGGGAGAATCAAAGAGAAAATTATGTAAGAGAAAGGAAGAACTAATTCAACCCATATCAAAGTGCCTAATGTGTTCCAGGTACTATGCTAGACATAAAGACAGGATGAATTAGATAGAACCCCTCCCTCAAAGAATCATTTTCTCTGTTCAACCAAGTGGCAAAAAGTTTGCATTTAAAATTTGAAAGAACATCATAACCTTTCTACCACCACCAAGTTTCCTCCTTACAAAACACAACGGTAACCAGAGTACCATCTCAAAAGCCTTTAGTTTGTTTTTCATCATATATAATTTGCAATAAATGTGTTTATATAATGATATATATGAATGTGTGCATATGTTTATATATATATATATATAAAACTTTTTAAATTAAAAAACTTACTTCAAAATTTAGACTGATGATAAGAAAAAGAAAGTCACTTGACCAAAAAATATTAGACTCAGAGAACACTTGTCTTAAAGGCATGGAGGCATGAAAGCCAGTGGCGTGTGAGGGGAGACTGCTGGAGCCTGTGGCAGGAGGCTGAGAGTAATACAAGATCAAGTCAAAGAGTTTAGGATATCGTATCTCAAACCTTGGCACTTGGCCTTTACCTTCTGAAGTGAATGACCTCAAATATGGTAACTGACAAGATGGGCTGGCTTCAGATTTAGATAAGCCTGAGTCTGAAGTCCATCTCCCTCATATACCAAATTGCTCAACCTCTTTGGAATTAATTCTTTATTTATGAAATGGAGATAAGAATAGTTCTAACTATGCACACTTACCATTCAATAGTATTGGTTATTACTACCCATGAATATTCCTTCTTCCTGATCCTAAGAATCTTTAAGAATCATTTTGCTTTCCCTATTAAGCAAGATAAAGTCACCTGAATCTTGAAGAATTTACTACTTAATCCCATTGATTTTATTTGGTCATCACTTTTCATCTGCTTTTGAGGCCCACTTTTTAATTAGGTGGACATAACATTCATTTCTTCACCTTTCTCATTAGAAGAATTACATAGAAATTCTTTGGCAGTATCGTTAGAGAATCACCTCTCTCATCAAATTCTCAAAATCAGCCAATTCTGCCACTTACAAAAACTATTTTTAAATCGTCACTAACTATAATTTATTATTTTTAGTAGACAAAAACTATTGGTTCAAATGAAACCTTTGTGAACAAATTTTATTAATGTTATTATGGGGTCCTTTTAAACATAATCAAAACTTCACATGTTATGCCATCTGTGGGAATTTATATAATTTTACATTCCAAAAAAGTTCCCTATTCTCCAATAGTCTCAACCATAATTTCCAAAGTACTTATATGTGATCAGAAAGGTACTGCAGAAATAAAGGGTAAAATAAAATATCAGTCTTTTTTTAATAAGCCCAGTAAGAGATCTTATAACTGGTCAGCTGTCTTTGTTTGCTCTCTGCTGTGTTTCCATTTCTAAAAGACCATTTACAACATAGGTCTCACTTGAGAAACCCACTTAAATTTTAAAAACTTTCAAAAATGTTACTTTTATTTAAAGTGACCATGTTCACAGTATTTATTATTCATAATCATTGGGTCTTGAAATTACAAAAATGACCTTCGAAGAGCCATAAAAATATCATGGAACCCTCATTAGAAAGTTTATTCTCCTTACTCAGAGAAATTTCTAAGGACCCCCTCAGAGCCCATTAACCCTTATTTTGTTTTTGTTTATTTGTTTTTTGAGACAGAGTCTCCCTCTGTCATCAAGGCTAGAGTGCAGTGGCACAATCTCGGCTCACTGCAATCTCCACCTCCTGGGTTCAAGAGATTCTCATGCCTCAGCCTTCTGAGTAGCTGGGATTACAGGTGCCCCCACCTTGCTTGGCTAATTTTTTGTATGTCTAGTAAAGAAGGGTTTCACCATGTTGGGCAGGCTGGTCTTGAACTCCTGATATCAGGTGATCCACCTGCCTCATCCTCTCAAAGTCCTGGGATTGCAGGTGTGAGTCACCATGCCCAGCCCTCATTTTGAAAACAATTCTAATGACTTTGCTCCTTTGTTTTTCAAATCCTAGAAGATTAGATGTTAAACATTAATATTCAGGAAGAGATTGCTGTGATAGAGGCAAACTGAGAGCAGCATTAGTGACTGATGACAATGAAAGAGATGAAAAAGACAGCAATCTAAGTCATGAATGTGGGGATAAATATCTTTCCACAAGTGATATTTATAATGTTGACCTGCCAAGCACATTTCCCCTCACCTTTTTTGGTTGTTACCAAAAAATGTAACTTCTTTTTTTGTGTGTGTGATTTTCTTTTGTGAAATCCATGCCTCCGCTATTCTCCATCCATGTGGTCATGTGAGATTGTCATTCTGACCTCCCCAAGCCACGTGCTCCACCAGTGATCCAGGGATGAGGATCATTGACAGGACTGTTCAATAAGGAAACTCCTTCCTCTGGTTACATTGATGGTTTCAGGCATGAGGACTGACATATACCTTGCCAATAAGAGTCAGCTTTGGGTATTTACTGGAACCACTGGGAAAGAGCTCTCTTTCTGTTTGGGTTGCTAAACCTAGACTTGCTAGTGAAAACACTTGTGATACCCAAGAAAGCCTTCCAAAGAATTAAATGACTACAGAGCAAAGACAATTCTCAATGTGGAAAAGGAGAAAAACTCCAAATTAATCACCACATTGTTGGTACATCCAGAAGCAGCTATGTTTGAGTTAGGTAGGCCAATAAATTTCTTTTATTAAGCCAGTTTGAGATGGGTTTCTGTCACCTGCCACCAAATGAATTCTCAATAAGAATCTTCATACCTGAATTGGCCCTGAAAGATCTCCTGTATAATAAATAATATTTGGAAAGGTGATTCTCACGTGTAATCCCAGCACTTTGGGAGGCTGAGGCAGGTGGATCATCTGAGGTCAGAAGTTTGAGACCAGCCTGGCTAACATAGTGAAATCCCGTCTCTACTAAAAATACAAAACTTAGCCAGGTGTGGTGGTGGGCACCTGTAATCCCAGCTACTCAGGAGGCTGAGGCAGGAGAATCATTTGAACCCAGGAGGCAGAGGTTGCAGTGAGCTGAGATCATACCACTGCACTCCAGCCTGGACAACAGAGGGAGACTCTGTCCAAAAAATAAATAAAAATAAATCAATAAACAAACAAACTGCATCTTTTTATCAGTTTTCTCTCTCAGATTTCAGAAAGACAGTTTTGTTCACAGAATGCAGATAACATTTTTTAATGGTCAGGTAACAAAATGTAGCAACCAAGAAAAAGCAGTGGTGAAACACTGCAAAGACTAAGAGCCTGAGCAACATAGCAAGACACTGTCTGCACAAAAAAATTAAAAATTAGCAGGGCATGGTGGTGTGTGCCTCTAGCCACGGCTACTTGGGAGGCTGAAATGGGAGGATCGCTTGAGCCTTGGATGTTGAGGCTGCAGTGAGCTATAATTGTGCTATTGCACTCAGCCTGGGCAACAGAATGAGATCTTATCTCAAAAAAAGAAAGATAAATAAATTATTAATCAATAGACTAAAAGATAACTTGCCATTTAGGCATGTCTTAAGATTCTAGGAATTAAGGAGCTTTTCTTTTTAAAAAATTCCAGTTCAACTGCAATATTTTAAGAGATTTTTGTATATCAGAAAATTATACTGAGAACTAGGAAGGCAAGGTATCTTTTAGATCAGGAGTTCCCAACCCCAGGGACATGAGCTGGTATCATGTGGTCTGTCAGAAACTTCCATGCAGTAGGAAGTGAGCGGCAGGCAGGCGAGCCAGTAAGCATCTGTATTTACAGCTGTTCCCCAACTCAAGCATTACTGCTGGAACTCTGCCTATTGTTAGATCAGAAGCAG